TTTTGGGACCACATCCAGCTCTGCTCAGGGGCGACTCTCAGCTTGGTGCTCGAGGGCTGTTCCCAGTGGTGCCCATGGGACCTTACAGTGCCATAAGCCAAACCTGGGCTCCTGCATGCAGAGCGCATGCGCTGTGCATGGAGCCATCTCTCCTGCCCTTGAGACATCAGTGTTAATGAGGGCATCAGTTCCATCACAAGAGCTCAATCTTCTTAAGCTACTCTCCTCCAAGGGCCTAGAGTCCGTAAAAACTTCACATTTTAAGTAGGTTTCACTACATGGATTTTGGGAAGACACAGGTGTTCACTCTATAGCAACTGCACTATGTATAATTTCATTCAAACACTGTTCAGAAGCAGAACAAGTCACATAGAGTCAGATGTCTGGCCTCATCCTTGGGCTGGGTCTCAGAGCACGTGGGCCCTCTCTCACATTGCTGCATCTTTTTTTTTCATCATTCATATCCTTTTAATTTCAGGGATTTCTCTTCAGTCATTGGCTAGCATTCTAATGGATCATTTTATGGCATTTAAAGCTAGGGCATCCACAGATATTTACATTTTCCTTGTCAAAGGTTAGGAATGTGATGATCAGGCTACACCTCTATTGTCTCACCATTCTTTTTTTTTTCCCCCTTTATTTTATTTTTTTTTACAGTTGTAGATTTACAATTTTTTGTGCTTGGGTTTCAATTATACAATGATCAGATACCCATCCCTCCACCAGTGCCCATTTTCCACCACCATGGATAATATCCCTCCCACCCCCATCCCCCCATCCCCCCCCCGTCTCTGTGGCAGGGCAATCCCCTGTGTTCTCTCTCTCCTTTTGGGTGTTGTGGTCTGCAAAAGAGGCATTGAGTGGCAAGCATGTTCAGTCCATAGTCTACTTTCGACATGCATCTCCCCTCCTGGGAGGATCCTCCAAACATCCTTTATTTGGTGCTCCCTTCTCTATCTGAACTGCCCTTTCCTCTAGGATACCCGGCTGGCCTCTAAGTTATGGAGTAATCCTCCTGGTGCTGATCTCAGCTATTCTTGGGTATTAATCTCATACTTTGTTACTTTATATCCCCCAGATGAATGCAATCTTTCTATGTCTATCCCTCTCTTTCTGACTCATTTCGCTTAGCATGATACTTTCCATATTGTACCACTTGTATGTAAATTTCATGACTTCATCTTTTCTAACAGCTACATAGTACTCCATTGTGTAGATGTACCAAAGTTTCTTTAACCAGTCATCTGTTCTTGGACATTCAGGTTTCTTCCAGTTTCTGGCTATTGTAAAGAGTACATTGCTGCATCTTTGACTGAGTGGTGGTTACATGTGGGGCAACTCACATACTCGACATGTGTGGGCTTGGGTGTACATTTTAGAAGTCAATGAAAAGTAGGGTTCAGGCACGTGACTCAATGATAGGGCACCTGACTTGTAGGTGTGAGAGCACAAGTTCAATGCCCAACACTGACCCAAAATGCCAAGGGACATCCTGGTGGCATTGCCATTGTGATCCCCAGCATCATACCCCCAGTGCACTGCAACCAAGTGGGCACCTGAACATAACGAGAGTGGGGAAGGAAGATTAGAGCACACTTCCAGTAGATGGAAACATCTTAGAAAGCAATGCCCATGGTATGATCCCAAGCTTTCAAAGAAGAACATATATGCATAAATAATGGACAAATACCAACCTCCACGTATTAAAAACATTTATTGAGCAGGGATTATGTGACAACACATGGTTTACTCGGAATACATCTCTATAGGGATCTCATGCACAGTTCCACCACATGCACGGACAACTCTGGCTTCCGTATGGAGTTTTGCGCCACACATTCCACATGGTGAGAGGTTGGACAGAGCAGTAAGGACAGCACTGACAAATATGGAGGAAAGTCATTTTCACAGCGGATAAGGCTGCTGTGTGTGTCCCAGGATTCAGATGAGACTAGCTGAGGGACACTGAGTCACTGGTGAACACAGGGGACACAGCCTACTTTGAGAGGACAAACCCAAGAGACTAAAGGCTGGCAGTCCTGCCCAGCCCAAATGCATCTCCATAGCAACCCTGACGATGGCATGCACCCAGATGAAGGGTCAGCACCACTTGGGAGAGAGGTTGTGGTGTCCAGGAAATGCCCTCACCCACTCACACTTGTCCTTCCCGGCACAACTTGGCCTGTCATCTCCAGATTGGAAAGACTTTTTCTCCAGCTTGAAAGAAACCAAAGATAACCCAATCAATAACAACCCCTTTTAGATAGATTTAAACAGTATTTTCTAATAATTTACGGTCAGACAAGTAAACCAGAAACTTCACTTTAGTAAGGTATTTGAATTTTAGACTGCCACTAAAACATAGGCAGTGGTTCAGATTCAAAAACTAAAGATGCTATAGGTAAAACGATATAGTTATTAAACGGTCAATACCAGTGTTTCTCCAAGTGGACAGTATTGTCCCCAGGAGTCACTGGAACAATATGGGGCAGTAGTTTCCTAAATACAACAAAGGGATGAATTCTGTTTGTTCACATAAAGAAGATAGATTTTCCAGGGTGTATTGAGTGGTTTTATTTTTCTGAAAAGTAGTGGTAGGCCGAATAAGTTTTGGAATCTCTGGTATATACAAGGAAGGTGAATAAAGTTAGCATAAGTATTAGCCAGTATTTGATAGTCAAGATTTAACACTGAGGTTAGATTAGGGGAAGACACTTTCAGATTGTCTCCCAGGGTCAGCTACATCGGTAGACAATGTAGCTGGTATTAAGAGACTAGATTGTAGTTACAAGAAAATGTTTGCTAAATTTGGAATAACCCTATATTTTTCTTTTTTTCTTTGTCATTGGTAGGATTCACATCTAATAGTGCTCAGGAACTACTGCTGGCTTTGTGCTCAGGAGTCACTACTGGTGATGCTCCGGGGACTATATGTGGTGCCAGGGATTGAACAGGGGTTGACCACATGCAGAACAATTGCCTGAACTATCTTTCCAGCACTTAAGTCCGTATTCTTCAAACATGAATGTGCATTCATATCCCCTGAGGGTTCTGTTAAAGAGCTGACACAGATGTCATCAGGTATGTCTCTGTGATAGTATTTTGCCTTCCTGATAAGCTTCCATAAGATGCCACGAAGCATTGGGATCTGAATTTTTATGCCCTATTCATCTACAGGCAGCAGACCTCATACATTATTCAGCAATCAGCACTTAACTGCCCTCCAGATGATGAAAGGTTTTCTGGTTTTGTTCTATTGAGCTATAATTTACACAGAATGGATGCCATATGGAATTCTGAGTCAAGTCTTTTTTAATGTTAAGCAACCATCCTTAGAGTAAGGACTACCAATGAAGATTCTTCAGATCTTTAAATCTTCATTGCCCAGTTTTGGATTTAAATTCTCAAAGACAAACTCAGACACACAGACACAGACATAGATGTGTGTGTAAAGGTGTGCTTGGGGATCCAACCAGGGTCAGCTACATGCAAGGCAAGAACTCTACCTGTTGTACTATCTCTCTGGTCCACGATTCAGGGATTTTTAAATTGTAGAAATAATGGCATAAAAAGCAGCAAGGCTACTGATTTACTGAGGACTCGGCAAAATATTTGAATATTTTATCTCTGTGTCTCACAAACCAATATCTAAATTATGTTATGAAATGCAGTTCTTTTTCATGTCAACTACTTCTGGCTCTATTAAAGAGAGAGGAGCAGATATAAATCCTTGAATGTCAGTCTCATGGGACAGAATGTCAGAGTTGGTTAAGGGACAGAAGGCCAACAGCAGACAATGATAGCCGTGAGAGAGAGTGAGAACAGATCAGGCAAAGGAGTCTAAAGAAGTCTATTAGAAGGATGTTTATTATTAGAAGGAGTTTATTAGAAGGATGTAGTTAGATACTTCACTAACAATTATTTTTCTGGGGATTCATAAAATGTCACAATTTTTCATTAGAAACACCTTGTAAAGAATGTCGTCTTACTACAATACTAGACACTATAAATCTTTACTTGAAAAGTCCTTTCAAGGTATCAGAGTTAATAGGGGCAGAAGGCAGGGACCGCAGACACATTAGCCATGGAGAGTCATGGTATATCTATATATCTAGACCATAGAACCAACAACATTCAAAGTATGATGTCCAAACTACAACATCCAAACTTAAAAATGAGCCTGTCAGGAGCATGGGGGTTGGGAGGGTAAATTGGGACATGGCGGAGGGAAGTTGACATTCCTTGGTTTTGGAATATTGTATGCCTGAAACTCAATTATGAATAATGTTATAAGCCACGGTGCCTTAATAATAAATTGAAAAAAAGGAAAAGGAAAAGAAAAGCCCCAGAATCTGCCTTAACATGTGGATGTCCAGTGTGTAGCTTCAGTAGCTCACACTTGTATATGGTCTTAGTTCTCTCCAGAATGCCCTTAGTTCTTCTGGAAGTCAGAGCACAGGGGAGATCAGAAGTTGTATTTAAAACTATATCAATTTATGATATTTTCTTCTGAATATAAAAGTAGTTAAAGCATTGAGACTCTTTGAGACTAGCCAATTCAAATATTTTCTGATTCCTTACCTATGCACAAAAAGAAACAAAGCGTCACATGAATCACGATGTAGGTATTTCATAGGGACCAAAAAAAAAAAAATTCCCGAGCATTAAATAGTCCTGAGAGCTTCAACCATTGTTTTCACAGCTTGATTTAGGGAAGACAAAAGTCATAGCCTGCAGGGGGCCAGCGGGGCCGCGGGCGGGGGAGGATGGCTGTGGCGGCGCCACTTCCCGGGAACAACCGTCAAGACGCCGCCGCCGCCGCCGCCGCCGCGGAGGAGTCGGTCCGGGAGACGCGAGGGACCCTGCCTGGGCGTCGGCCGCGCCGCAGCCGCGAGGCGCCTCGGCGGGGCTGCGGGAACCTACCCCGGACTGGCTGGGGCTCGGCAGCCGCCCGCAGGACAGGGGCCTAGTCGCGCCGCCGCCTCGGCCGCCCGGACGAGCTGGAGAACATCTATAATAGTCTTCTGAACATCAAACTTTTTCAAGGATTTCTGAGGGAACCAAATATTTACTTACATCATGACTTAATCTGAATGCAAGAACAAGAAATCGGTCTTATCTTTCAATATAATGAAGGGCTGTGTATAAACACGGACCCTGACTCAATTCTAATGAATATTTTAGACATGAGTTTACATCGACAAATGGGTTCCGATCGAGATCTTCAGTCTTCTGCTTCGTCAGTGAGCTTGCCTTCTGTCAAAAAGGCACCTAAGAAAAGAAGGATTTCAATAGGCTCTCTGTTTCGGAGGAAAAAGGATAACAAACGTAAATCAAGGGAGCTAAATGGCGGGGTGGATGGAATTGCGAGTATCGAAAGCATACATTCTGAAATGTGTGCTGATAAGAACTCCGTTTTCTCTACAAATACCTCCTCTGACAATGGGTTGTCTTCCATCAGCAAACAAGTTGGAGACTTCATAGAGTGCCCTTTGTGCCTTTTGCGGCATTCTAAGGACAGATTTCCTGAGATTATGACTTGCCACCATAGATCTTGTGTGGATTGCTCACGACAGTATCTAAGGATTGAAATCTCTGAAAGCAGAGTTAATATCAGCTGCCCAGAATGTACTGAACGCTTTAATCCCCACGATATTCGCTTAATATTAAGTGATGATGTCTTGATGGAAAAATATGAAGAATTTATGCTTAGACGGTGGCTTGTGGCAGATCCTGATTGTAGGTGGTGTCCAGCTCCAGACTGTGGGTATGCTGTGATAGCGTTCGGATGTGCGAGCTGTCCCAAATTAACCTGTGGGCGCGAAGGCTGTGGCACTGAGTTTTGCTACCACTGTAAACAGATTTGGCACCCCAACCAGACCTGCGATGCTGCTCGGCAAGAGAGAGCCCAGAGTTTACGTCTCCGGACTATTCGCTCTTCGTCCATCAGTTACAGTCAGGAGTCTGCTGCGGCAGCTGATGATATCAAACCATGTCCACGCTGCGCCGCTTACATAATAAAGATGAACGATGGCAGCTGTAATCACATGACTTGTGCCGTCTGCGGTTGTGAATTTTGTTGGTTGTGCATGAAAGAAATCTCAGATTTGCATTCTAAGTCCATCAGGATGTACTTTCTGGGGGAAGAAACCTTGGAGCAGAAAGAAGAAGATATTGTGGCAGCTGGGAACCCTTGTTGGCGCTCCCGTAGGAATTGCTTTAATCGCTGGCATTCCTATCCCTGCAATGATCATTGGCATTCCTGTGTATGTGGGCCGGAAGATTCATAATCGATATGAAGGCAAGGATATTTCCAAGCACAAACGGAATTTGGCCATAGCTGGTGGCGTGACATTGTCTGTAATTGTATCTCCAGTTGTCGCTGCAGTGACTGTAGGTATCGGTGTCCCTATTATGTTAGCTTATGTTTATGGCGTCGTTCCAATTTCTCTCTGTCGAAGTGGAGGTTGTGGAGTCTCAGCAGGCAATGGGAAAGGAGTCAGGATTGAATTTGATGATGAAAATGATATCAATGTTGGTGGAACTAACACAGCTGTAGATACAACTTCCGTAGCAGAAGCAAGACACAACCCGAGCATAGGGGAGGGGAGTGTCGGTGGTCTCACTGGCAGCCTGAGCGCCAGTGGGAGCCACATGGACCGCATTGGGGCCATCCGTGACAACCTGAGTGAAACGGCCAGCACCATGGCCCTAGCCGGGGCCAGCATCACAGGCAGTCTGTCTGGAAGTGCCATGGTGAACTGCTTCAACAGGTTGGAGGTGCAAGCAGACGTACAGAAAGAACGTTCTAGTCTAAGTGGAGAATCTGGCACTGTCAGCCTGGGGACAGTTAGTGATAATGCCAGCACCAAAGCAATGGCAGGATCCATTCTGAATTCCTACATCCCTTTGGACAAAGACGGCAGCAGTGTGGAGGTGCAAGTGGACATTGAGTCCAAGCCGTCCAAGTTCAGGCACAGCAGCGGGAGCAGCAGCGTGGAGGACGGCAGTGGTCCCGGAGTCATGCGGCCGGCTCCGCCAGCGGCCTGCCTGAGGGGAAGTCCGGCGCCCCCAAGTGGTCCAAAGAAGCTCCGGCGGGAAAGAAGCCCAAAAGTGGCAAACTGAGGAAGAAGAGCACCATGAAGATAAACGAGACCCGCGAGGACATGGACGCGCAGCTGCTCGAGCAGCAGAGCACGAACTCCAGTGAGTTTGAGGCGCCGTCCCTCAGCGACAGCGTGCCCTCCGTGGCCGAGTCCCACTCGAGCCATTTTTCTGAGTTCAGCTGCTCTGACCTGGAAAGCATGAAAACGTCCTGTAGCCACGGGTCCAGTGACTACCATGCTCGCTTTGCCACCGTCAGCATTCTTCCCGAGGTGGAGAACGACCGACTGGAAAACTCCCCACACCAGTGTAGCATTTCTGTGCTCACCAAGACGGCCTCGTGTCCAGACGGCCCACAGTCGGCTCACAGTGCTGAGGAGCACGGCAGCAGCGGGATGAAACCCAAGGTGGACTTGTACTTTGGGGATGAACTCAAAGAAACCAATAACAACCACTCACACCAGACAGTGGAGTTAAAAGTTGCAATTCAGACTGAAATCTAGGCCTCTAAATGCTGCAAAAATCATTACCACTGAACAACCTTGTTCGGGGCTCGTCGAACTATATGTGACAACTCTTAAGTTTTAAGTTACCAGCAAATGCCGGGTTACATGATGCTCATGCAGATCCTTTTTCTGTGTTCAGCAAAGCATTGTCTTTCACGTGGATCTTAAATTACCTGACCCTGAAAAGAAGGCTTTAAAAATGTACTCTTGTAAGGACAAAAGATCTGCAAAGAAGTTCTATGTTTTGTGAATTTGCCACAAAGCATTGCTTGAAGCACATACTTGTATATTTAGATAGAATTTGGCTTAATTTATACTCCATATAAAATACTAATGCAGCATTCTGGTGGAGAAAACTTGAGACTTAGGGAGAAGTGGTTAGTGACATTTTATTGAAACCACTATAGGTACTGTTTATAGGATACTTGCCAGGTTACCCTCAGTATATGATATTCTTTGTAATGTTTCTATAACTCAGCATAAAATTCATTTCTTCATACATGTGGATATATAAAGCTTCGCAGCCCATTTGCTACCATTTGGATACTTGGACACTTTGAGCAAGATTGTGGCAGTTTTTGCACAACTTTGAAATAGAAATATCTGGTACTCTATTTATCTTGTGTGTGGTTGATGCCATCAGTAGAAGAAAAGTATAAAAGTAAGTAGTGAAGTATATTGACAGCACCAAATGAGATACATAAAACTGCAAAATAAAATTTCATTTGTAAGTATTACAGAAAAAACACCTTCCACTAAGGGGCCTCTCTGCCCCGTTGATCCTCGGTGCCTTTGAATAGACTGGATTTTAAGGGCCCAGTTGCTTGAGAATTTTGCTGTATTGTTTTCCATAGTGTCCTCTATAGCACCTTGATTATGTAAAAAAATACAGGATAAACATAAGTATGATTAATAACAATGCTGAAAACAGTGTTAGCCTACCAAAGACACACTCAGGCTTTTGTGACTATCTTTACATAACCTCATTTTTTAATATATGCGTACCTTTCCCAATCATGAAGTCAGAGCTTTGTGTCGAGCTTAGATCAATTGCTAAGGAGGGTCCACATAGGGCTGGCTTTCTTTGCTTTTGCTTTTGTTTATGGAAGACGTTTAGCTGACATAAGCAGAAGTTGGCCAAAATACTGCCTGTACTGTTAATTTCCTGTATAATTTCTCTTAAATAAAACAGGTTAACCTCAATTACAGCAGTGAAAACTTTCCATCTTACGTGTTTTTTTATAAGTGTTATCATGATGGTGCTACTGAGCATTTTTTTTTAATAAAAAATGCCATGGGCTGCAGTCTTCTTAATCACTTTTTCTTACAGGTTCACCCAGCTTAGAACACTAGTGCCAGTTATTTTATTTGATTATGCTTATCGTATTTATATATTTGTTTGCATTCCAATTTTGTTCAGTAGTGAGTGTGTAAATTGCATACATGAACTAAATGTAAATACTGATGTATTGCTGCAAAAAAAAAGTCATAGCCTGCAGAATCTTGCCTCCTTTACTTGTTTGTTTTTTTTTTTGTGCTACACTCTGTGGTGCTCAAGTCTTACTCCAGGCTCTGCACTCAGAGATCACTCCTTGCAGATTTCAGGGACCATATGGGGTGCCAAGAATTGAACCTGGACCTGCTACATGCAAGGAAAATGCCCTATCCACTGTACTATCTCTCTGCCTCCATCTTGCCTCCTCTTGTTTGCACCAACTAGCATTAAATAGCAATTCCCTCCATGTACTTGCCTGAATTTCTAATTCCAGTCAGTGTGATTTGTTTAGGTTCTGGGGAGGGATATGACAAAAGCAATGAGCAAATCAGGAACAGAAATGATCAGAAACTTTCCAGATCTTAGGGGAAGATCAGGTAGACCAAACTGATGACACCATAGGAGAAACCATCAGCTCCCTAAGGAAACCAACTCAAACCATCCTAGGTGAGCAATGGAAGATAGTCCTTAGGGGACCACTCTTCTAGACACTATAAATCTTAACTTGAAAAGCCCCTGAGTGTATCAGAGATAATAAGGACAAACAGCAGGGGCCTGATAAGATATAGCCCAGGTATATGCTACTTATGAGGTATAGCCCAGGGTTGACTACTTAAGCTCAGAACCTGCAGATTTCTGCCTCTCATGACAATGTGCACTTGAGTCTCCCGGGAACCTAGTAAATGCAGATTCGAATTCAACAGGTCCAGGATAAGACTCGAGATTCTGCATTTCTAACAAGCATCCTGGACACCCCCTTTGACAGCACAATTTGAGAACTGTACTTCTTAAATATAAGTTTGCAAAATAATCTCTTGAAAACCTCATAAAAACACAGATTTCTGTTTCCTGTCTGTAGGGACATGTTTCCCAGCTAAGACCCAATGTGCATTTTAACAACTCCCAAGTGATTTTGTTGCTGCCTGGCGTCAGTAGGAAGTATCTAGTTAACTTTTGAACAGACTTTCCTAAGATGTCTTTACTTCCCCCATTAATAGCCTCCTTTTAAAAAAGCAAATTGCTAACTGAACAACTACATGCAAAAACGTGGGCTCAGATCTCTGCCTAACACCATGTACAAAAGTAAGATCAAAATGGATTAAAGACCTCAACATTAGACTGGAATCCATAAGGTACATTGAAGACAAAGTTGGCAAAACCCTCCATGACATTGAAGCTAATGGTATCTTCAAAGATGACACACCACTGACCAAGCAAGTGAAAACAGAGATAGACAAATGGGACTATCTTAAACTAAGAAGCTTCTGCACCTCCAAAGAAACAGTGACCAAATTACAAAGACAGTCTACAGAATGGGAAAGGATATTCACCGAATACACATCCAACAAGGGGTTGATATCAAGGATATACAAAGTACTGGTTGAACTCCACAAGAAGAAAACATCCAACCCCATCAAAAAATGGGTCAACGAAATGAACAGAAACTTTCTCAAAGAATAAATCCAAATGGCTAAAAGGCATATGAGAAAATGCTCTACATCATTAATCATCAGAGAGATGCAGATCAAAACAACAATGAGATATCATTTCACACCACAGAGACTGGCCCACATCCAAAAGAACAAAAGCAACCAGTGTTGGCGCAGATGTGGTGAGAAAGGGACCCTCCTTCACTGCTGGTGGGAATGCCGACTGGTTCAGCTCTTTTGGAAAACAGTATGGACAATTCTCAAAAAATTAGAAATTGAGCTCCCTTTTGACCCAGCAATACCACACCTGGGGATATACCCCAGAGAGGCAAAAAAGTATAGTTGAAGTGACATCTGCACTTGTTTGTTCATTGCAGCACTCTTTACAATAGCCAGAATCTGGAAAACACCTGAGTGCCCGAGAACAGATGACTGGTTAAAGAAACTTTGGTACATTTACACAATGGAGTACTATGTAGCTGTTAGAAAAGAGGAAGTCATAAAATTTACATACAAGTGGTACTACATGGAAAGTATCATGGTAAGCGAAATGACTCAGAAAGGGACAGACATAGAAAGATTGCATTCATCTGGGGAACATAAAGTAACAAAATAGGAGACTAACACCCAAGAATAGCTGAGATAAATACCAGGAGGTTTACTTCATGGCTTGGAGGCCAGCCGCATACTCTAGGGATAAAGGCAGCTCAGATAAAGAAGGGAGCACCAAATAAAGGGTGTTGGGAAGATTTGCCCAGGATGGGAGATGCATGCTGAAAGTAGACTATAAACGGGACATGATTGCCACTCAATTCCTCTTTTGCAAAGGACAGCACCCAAAAGGAGAGAGAGAACAAAAGGGAGTGCCCTGCCACAGAGGCAGGGTGGGATGGGGGAATGAGGGGTGGGAGGGTTACTGGGATTCGTGGTGGTGGAGAACGGGCACTGGTGGAAAGATGGGTACTTGATCATTGTATAACTGAAACCCAAGCACAAAAATTTGTAAGTCTACAACTGTACCTCATGGTGTTTCACTAATAAAAAAAAAAAATAAAAGCAAATTGCTGAACACCAAAAGATCAAAGATGCTATTAGGTCTTTCCCTTGAAGAATATTGCATACCAGATTTGCAGAATATCACAGGGAATCTGGTTTTATTTTTGTTTTAGTTTTGCTTAGATTAAAGACTAGAAAAAAAAAATACAATAAAGACCAGAAGTGAGATTGAGTTCAGGAAACAACGCTACCTGAAGTGGTACTAACTAGGTACTGCTGAGCCATCCTATGTATGGCTGAGTGTGAACCAAAAAAAAAAAAAAAATTTTTTTTTTTTTTTAGTAAATTAAAGTTTCTGCGGGACTAGAATTTATAACAGGACTAGAAAGTACCGGAGAGAGTACAGTCCTAATCCAAAGCTGGTAGGCCCTTCAACGTCAGGACATCACCGGTGTCCAATAGCTCCCTCCAGTCCCTACGACATAGGCGGGTCTAGGAGACCGCTCTCAGATTCTGTGTCTTTGCGCTGAAAAGACTGGAAGCCCAGGACTTCCGTAGAGGGCGTGTCGTATGCAGATGAAGATAGCGCAGAGGCCCCTGGTCCTGAACCATGGGCATGCTGTGACCTCGACTGGAAATAAAAGTGTTAATTTCTGGCCGTTAGAGATTTTAGCGAGGGTCGTGAATGTCACGGTGTGAGGAGAGCATGTGGAGGACACGCGTGCTAAGTGGGCATATGTGTAAAGGGAGGTGGTGTTGGAGGTGAGGTGTGCGGCGGGCATTAGAACTCATACTTACCTGGCAGGGGAGACACCATGATCACGTAGGTGGTTTTCCCAGGGCGAGGCTTATCCATTGCACTCCGGATGTGCTGACCCCTGCGATTTCCTCAAATGTGGGAAACTCGACTGCATAATTTGTGGTAGTGGGGGACTGCGTTCGCGCTCTCCCCTGGTAATTTGGTTTGAAAAGAAAGAATAAGTTGATCGTACATGTTTTGCACTACTAAAGAAGTAGTACGAAGCAGATGGCGTAATTCAACGCTTTTATAGCTTGAGAAGCCGTTTACAATACCTGTACTTTTTAATAGCCACAGTGCTTGGAATGTTTGCTTTGGTGCTTATCACTTCTTTTCTGCAAGAATTTTAGCTTTGGGGGACTGGAGCAATAGCAGAGCGGTCACCGCCACGGGTAATTCCAGAGTGCAGAGCCAGGAGTGATCCAATAAACCAAAAAACATAAAAACCAAAAAAAAAAATTAGTTTTTTTCCAATAATTGAGTTTTTATTTAATTTAGGAGCCACGCCCAGCTGTGCTTAGAACACTGTATGGGGTGCCCAGGGTGCAGCACTTCAGGAATTATGCCTGGTGGTGCTCAGAGGATCATATATGGCTTGCCTTGGGATCAAACCCCAGGTCAGCTGCATACAAGGCAAATGCCCCTCCTGTTGTGCTATACTCACTGGGCCCCAGAGAAAAGAGATAAATATAAATGGCCCTAGGAAAAAAATGTATGATGCTGCTCCGTGTATGTATGTTTGTTTTTGATCTTATACATCTTTTTAATGGGAAGATTATTTTTATCTGTGACATTTTTAGTGTTATGGGGACAAAGGAGAAAGGTAATGGTGAGACCCAGCCATGCCAGGAAATGAGTCCTGGACCAATAAATGGTAAAAAGAATTTTAGGGATTCCCTGAAAAAAAAGTGCGAAGTTCCCAGGAGAGAGTTTTGAAGGCAGCTCCTGTTGGTCAGTTCCCACAAACCATCTGAAGCACAAGCTCTCAAGAGCCCTTTGAAGGACCTTTGCTTTTGTTTATTCTTTGATTTCTCCTTTGAAGGGCTGAGATAAAT